ACCAATCTCTGCTGCTCTTATCTTTCTCCTCCAAAAAAACCACTAAAAATTCCCATAAATTCCTGCAAGATGTCACCTTGCGGGGGGGGGCAGCTCTGCACTTTCCCCCATCTTTGCTATATCCTGCTTCTTTTCTAAAGCAGGAGCCCATCTCTCTGTTACTGTCTAGGCCAGGGTTTCCCAACCTTGGCCGCTTTAAGACGTCTGGACTTCAACTCCCAGAATTCCCCAGCCAGCAAGGTTGGGAAACCCTGATCTAGGCAAAGAAAATGTTGAGGATGCAACGAAGGATATTCAATGCATGCCCATCCCAGCGCGGGACCACGATGCAGCTGATGAAGCGAGCTGAAAAAGCTGGTGCCTTTGAGCGAAATGCGTGTGTTGGAAAAGGTGCAATCAGAGTCCTCCTGATTTTTTTTTAAGCTGAAGGGAAACTTTTTAAACAGCAGCAAGCATTAATTAAACTAGATAAATCATAACCAATGAATTAAACTCTGCTAAGAAACCAACTTCCTCTTCACGGAACGAAACGGGCCCTGAATGACTCTCTGGGCCAGTCCCTTAAGAGGAGAGCAAGTTGAGAAGGGGCCGATGGACTTTTAATTCTGAACGACAGACTGTGACTGTCGCTTCGCCAAGTCTTTTGGGAAAATCCCCTGGGTTGCACGCTCAGTTTCCTTCTTTCCCCCTTTTATTTCAACACCCTCTGCCTCTTTGCAGTTCATCATCTCGGAGGGTGACCAGGAACAGCTGCCCTGCCCAGCGGAGTGCCCCCACGAGCACGGCCGCCCCGTCTGTGCCTCCGACGGGAAGTTTTACAAGTCGCCCTGTGCCTTCCAGAAAGCCAGGTGCCAGCAACCAACCCTGATGGCTTGGCCACGCTTCCGCTGCAGAGGGGCTTCCCGGATAGACAACAACAGTAAGCAGACAAGGACGGGGTGGGAGAGGGCAGGTGGGGGAGAATTTTTGGGAAGCGGGGCTCCTCCAGGCCTCCAGTGCCTTCATGCAACTGGCCCCGGGGGGCCGTAGCTGTGAAACTGGGCTGCAGCGTCGATGAATTAACTGGTAAATGGCTTAATTGAAAAGCTTGGATCTGATTCTGACGTCGATTCGGCTTCATCAGGAAAAAAGACGGTTCTCTTCTGCCCCGGCCAGCTGGACCCAGCCTTGTCCCACATCCAGTTGTGCCAGGTGATAACAGCATCGCTCCAATTTGGGGGCATATAAACCTACACTTAGCTGGGTCCTCTTCGGAGAATGGCTTGCCCTTCTGGGATACTACCCAAAAGAAGGCTTTAAGTGGCAAGAAAGGCTTTCTGTATGTGCTCGGAAGCACCCTAGTGTCTCAGCATCTAATGTTAGGTCTTGTGTCTTCATCCACCTTGCTCCATAGGTGCCAATTTGACCCGCTGTCAAGAAGACCGAGCTGCTGCACTTGCAAAATCCCGGCGCCAAGTCCATGCCACATACGTGCCCGAATGTAGTGAGGATGGGGCCTTCATGGAGGTTATGATTTTTCCACCTTTTCCTTGTGGCACAGGGCTACTTCCCATCATACCCCATCTTCTGCGGGCTCCTCTGGAGCTCAGGGTGAAGGGCAGTAAATGGGGTGTCTGAGGGGAGGTCAAAAAAGTCAAGATGGTGACTGCCTCCGTGCCATCCAAGCTCTGCCCTTTTGATGATGTGGTGGTGGACACCATCTTGATTCTTCTGACACCCCTGAAAGTCATTCCTTTCAATAGGCGAATCCTGAAGGAGTTAAGATCATGCATTAGCCCCAGACTTAGAGCTGTCTCAAGGGATTGAACTACAATCTCCATTGTGCTGGACATACTGTAGACGAGGGGAACTGTAGTCCAGAAAGATTGTTAGGAGATGCTGGAAGCCTCTTTGCCTTTGTGAATGAGGGTTTCTTCCAAGCTGAGACAAAAACAGCGAATGAGCAGAAAGGCACCAGATCGGTTGGGATCCACACATCCCGTTAAACACAGTCTAAATCCTACATGAACATACCCTGCTCAGCCCAAACCAAGCTTAGTTTATGCTTAAGGGTCATGTGTAAATCAGGTGGCTTGGGAACCACTGACCTAGCCATTTGCACTTCTCACACTCAAAGTATTCTGCTCATTGTGGTCTAGCATATAGCGTAGATGTAGCCAATAGTGGTTTATTCCAGGGTGTCTCAACCTCAGCGAGTTTAAGATGTGCGGACTTCAGCTCCCAGAATTCCCCAGCCAGCATGCTTAAAGTTGCTGAGGTTGAGAAACACTGGTTTATTCAACCACCCTGATTCAAAAAATGCAGACGTGACGAGCCTTCAAGTCGACCTCAATTCCTGGGGACATCATGGAGGCATCTGGGCAGTTTCACAGAACTGGTTTCCTCTTGCCTTCTTTTGGGACAGTTTACTGACTTCCCAGTCTAGCCCACAGGTCTAGCATTTCCTGTTAGGCTCCCATTCAACCACTAACCAGGCGCAAACCTGCTTAACGTCTGAGCCTAGTCATGTTCAGCCAACGCTCCCATCTCTTGAGGCAGGGGATAATCTTGATTTCTCGGCAACAAGAGGGTGAGCTTGGGAGCAGGCAACCACGTCTTCGTGGAGAGCAGAAAGCTTTCTGTACACACCAAAGAGGTCTTCTAATGATGCCGTGACATAACATCTGTTTCTTGGGCATGCCCACCCGCCCATTCCCCCTGTCCACACAGGTCCAGTGCCATAAACAAACTGGCTACTGCTGGTGCTCCACGCCGGAAGGCAAGCCCATCGCTGGAACATCTGCCCTCAACAAAGCACCCAATTGCACAGGTAAATTCTTCCCTGTTTCCCCTGGCTGGAATCTCTCACCTCCAGCAAGGCGTCTGGGCTGATGGGTGGCGTAGGTGGGTAGGGGACACACCCAACATTTATTTGCCTGGTTTGGGGCCCAGCTTGTCCTTTCAACTCAAAAATTAATTTAGAGAAACTGTATGTCCAAGCTAGCTCCTGTGCATCCTATGGGGTGAAGAGAAGACCGAGAACAGCCAGAAGCTGGAAATCCAGATTAGACCACGAGCAGGTTTTTTTCAACCTTGGCAACT